CGTAACTATTATATAACTCTAAAACCTGTCACATGTTAATATACTTACCTAAAGTTAGGGTACGTGAATTGGTACGTTGTGAAGGGCTCCGGGGCACCAATCGGCCTTTTTTTTTTATATATTATTTTTATTATTTTCTATTATATTATTTTTTATTTATTTTGTATTTATCGATTAGTGTTATTTGTTTTTAGTTAGTCTCTTTTATTAAGTAGAACTCAAAGGTTGGGATAATTTAAGGTAAAGATCGTCGTACACGAATTCCCGGAATTCCTAGAATTCCTGCTATTCTCGAAATTCCCAAAAAAATAATAATTTGAATAGCGAGAATAATGGCAATAGCAAGAAAAATTCGAATAGCAAGAATAATTTGAATAACGAGAAAAATAAGAATTTTAAGAATAATTAGAATAGCAATAATTCTCGTTAGTCCTTTATATGTAAAGAAAATGTATATAAACAATGCGAAATTACCTTGAATAAAAATCAACTCACAGAGTTCGAAAAGTAAAACCTTCTGAGTCTTGAATAATCTTGAAAAGAAGTGTTTATCTTTGAATAAATTCTCCCTTTGAATTGTTACAAATCGTTTTATTGAATCGTAAACTCTTTTTGCCTTGTCCCTGTGATAATTTTTCGTTGAATTCTGTCCCGAATTATTTTCTTGTTGTTATTAAGTTTCCAGTTCAAGTAAAAGTGCCCGAATTCTTATATCGCATACTCTTTTATATAGTATTTTTGAATTGATTAATTAATTGATCAATTTCGTAATTGTTAAATCGACTTGCCAATAAATTCAAATCCCCGTGACACCCGAATTGTAACTAAATCGTAACCAAATCGTGACCAAATTGTGATCAGATCGTGATCAGATCGTGACTTCCGATAAACGTGACCAAGACAATCCATAGACCCAACATCAATAATCTAAATACCTACCCAAGTAACCCTAACCCCGGACCAAGTTAAATCCTCGCCTCTTTCAAGCCTTATCCAAGCTAGGGTTACCACTTAATTGGATTTTTGGATTATCTCGGTTTATTTGTATAGATTAGTTGGATTCGAACCCCTGTGTAACTAAACCTCCGGACGAGTTCTAGCCTAGAACCAATCCTCACTTTTTCAACGTGCCCGTAGACGCTCCGAACTGCTACCGACACCGCAACACGTGATCTAATTTCCTAACCCTAACGATAATGCTGGCCGTGCGGTGTCGTTAAAGTTAGTGCTGGTCATTTGCGGTGCGATAAGGCGGTGTCGGTAGCAATCCCCTTAAAAAAATCGTGCGAAGTAATAGTATATCACGTGATCTAAAAGCGAACAGCTTCGCCTCCAACCTCATGATGGTACACACGTGACGCATGTGAAAGTGGTAACGGCGTGGGAAGCTCTGATGCATGGATTACACATGCCAATAACATGTGCATCGGCGTAAAGTAACAAGAAAATGCAGGATTGGCATTTTAAGGAACAGGTAAGTATAAGAGTCAAGGACAGCGGGAACAAGACAGTCTACGCTTGTACCTGAAAAGTAATCCTTTTTGCCAAGCGGCGAACACGTGATTCTATCCTTTCATCACTCACAGCCGGCTTGCTTCGGCGAGCGGGAAACCACCGGCTGCTCCCACGGCGACTAGTCTGGTCAACTCGGCCAATTGTTCATTTCTCTATCATGTACTCTGTTAATTTCTTAATAAAATCACCCGGCCTAAATTAACTGCCGGCATAAAAAAAAAAAAAAAAGTACCCTGGCATTATATAAGCACTAGTGCACTAGTGCACTAGTGATAATCTATAAATACTGTAATGATGACTCTATTGTAATGCAGATTAGTATCGTGATACATGAGATAATTTAGCTATTGTGATGCATGAGATAATTTAGCTATTGCTGTCAATGATCATTGACCATTGGCGTTCATCCCTTCTAACCAGAAAAAACTTGTTTTGTGTGGTAAGTAAATAAACTTGGTGAAAAAATTTTTTTTGATTGAAGAGTGCCAAAACAGCGATATACTTATAATCATCATCTTATCAAACCATAAAAATATTGGGGTTAAGTACAGTAAAATAAACTTGGTGAAAAGCAATATCATTTTTTTCTGATTGAAGAGACTATGCTTGTCATTGATTTTCATTGTACAGATACCCGGAATTTTTTGATTTTTATTTATAGAAAAATTCAGATTATTAAGGTAACACATTTACCAATTTGTTATTAATGTTAATTCCAGCCAAAAAAAACAGCCAATATATTCCACAATTTATGCCATATGTGATCTCATCTTAAGTGATAGATCTCAGAATTTAAGTAGGAATTTAGAATATTTCACACGTTAACCTTTAAAGCGTCATTTTTGCCAACGAGAATACTCATTGAACGTAAAAAAAACAAATATAGATAAATTATAGGCGCATATATAATAAATATTGACAATGTTCTTTGTTATGCGTAATATTTATTGATGATTTTTAGTTCCACGGTGCGTGCGAATTTGAGAAATTTGATCTTTTTGGTAGTTATAATAATTTTATGGCTTGCATAAGAACGCCAAAATATTTTGAGCCAAACTTTCATAAAAGACTGAAAATTTCCCCAATTTTCAAACCCTTTACCCAAGTCTACTAACATCATGGCTACTTATCAGGAAAGACTCACGACAATTCTGTCTACAAAATCTACTACCAAATCGTCTTTTTCTGTGGTGTGATATTGTGGATTTTATTATTATTATTTTTTTTTTCTCATCGTAAAAAAAAATTTTTTAATATATTTCTGTAATTTCAATGTTTGAACCAGTTTTTCAATGAAAATTTGTCAGAAGCACATGCAATCACAAAGCAATATTATGTTATTGCCAATGATACTACCAAAACTGACTCGATTCAAGCAGTTTTTGACCAAGCTGCCGAGGATTGTAAAACCAAGGATGTGAATATGGTCAAATATGCTTTGATGACCTTTGTTACCCATCATCCAACAGCTAGAAAAAACAAAATTCGAATTCCATCCTTGGCTCGTCGTTCACCAAATCTTGCACTTCCCACTAAGGGTGTTTATACAACACCAGGACCTGTTGTTGGTGATAAACCAGCAGCAGACGTTAGTGGTGAACCATTGCTTGCTTATTGGCTTGAAGATCCAAATCTGAACGAACATCATGAGCATTGGCATACTGTATACACTGATGACAAAGTCGCTGATCCTCAATTCCCTAATGATGAAAGTAAAGCATTCATAAAAGATCGTCAAGGTGAACTTTTTATTTATATGCATAGACAAATGAACGCCAGGTATGGACTTTGATTACTTCTCGTGACGTAAGTGCACATGTTATCACGTGTTTTAATATCAATTAACGTTTAAAGGTATATTGCCGAACGTCTTGGAGTTGGTTTGGGACTTACAAGGCCTCTACAAGATTTTAATGAGCCTATTGTAGAAGGTTATACTCCTTCATCACATTTAGTCGATAGTAGTGACAATACACCATATTCTTCTCGTTCTTCTGGGTTAAAAATGGCAGATGTTAGTAAGTATCAAAATTTATTTATATAATTACTGTATATATATATATATTTTTTTTTTCAAGAATATATCAAAATTTAATATTTTCACTTGTATATTTAGAACTTGGTAAATCAACAATATCAGTAGCTGAAACACTAAAACAACGCGAGCTTATTAAAAAAGCCATTCAGCAGGGTCACTTTGATGATCCAAAAAAGACACCACTCACACCTGATTTGTTGGGTCGTGCAATTGAAGCTGGTCTTAAAAAAAGTGAAACTGGATTTGATATGTATACTGGATTCCATAATAATGGACATATTATGATAGGTTTTATCAATTTTCAAAATGACAGTAAGTATCCATATATACCAATTTTGATTATAACTTTGATTTAATATTAAAACTTTTGTTCATTTAGAAAAACTCGACGCTGGTGTGATGGGCGACGTACGTGTAGCATGTCGAGATCCGGCTTTCTGGAGATGGCATAGACATGTTGATGATCTTTATAAAGCTTATCAAGAAAAGCTAGGACCACAAGAATTTAACGACTGCCCACCAGTAAAGTTTGCATCAGATGGTGGTATTGTCCTCTGTTTCAAGGATAAAATGGCATGTATCAAAGGATTAAAGGACCCTCAACAAGATGAAGAAGCAACAAAATGGGGAATACAAACGTTTAAAGAACATCATTTCTTTAATACTCATGGTACTAATGTATTGGAAACTAAGATGAAACAAAGACAATTTACTTGGCTTGAAGATGACAATTCAAAACAAGTCATTCAATACGTTTTCCCAAGAGAATGGTATTATTTCTTCCGCGTTGAGAACACATCTAACAAGGTAATAATATTATTCTAACGGTATTTAATTTAATTAGATTATATAATTCGCAAATTTAAATCTATTTTTATAATTATCATTTAGAACATCAACGTTACTTTCCGTGTCTTCATTTGCCCTCTCGAATTATGCGATCACTTTGCTGAGTGGATTGAAGTTGATAAATTTAAACAAGAGATCCCAGCGAATTGCAAAACTGTCATAGCGCGTGATTGTGATCGCTCATCAGTGGTGAGACAACCACCACAAAAAACTATAGATGAATTAGATGACACAGCAATTGCGGTTGGAACCGAAGATTCCGATGCTGAGCAATATTGTGATTGTGGATGGCCATTCCACATGTTATTGCCTCGTGGTAAACGAGAAGGCATGAAGTTTAAATTATTTGTATTTATTAGCGATTGGGAGAAAGATAAAGTTCCTACGGTTGCTAGATGTGGTAGTTTGAGTTTTTGTGGTGCAGAACAACCAAAGGACAAATATCCAGATATCCGTCCAATGGGTTATCCATTTGATCGTCCTTTCAAAGACTGTAGCTTCGAAAAGGTACTTATTAAGCATATATATCATTTTTCAACGACAATTCAAATTTTACTTCTTTTTTTTAACGCGAATTTATTAAATCAACTTTCAGACATTTGCCGGGCATCAAAATACCTGTTCAAAAGAAATATCCATTCGCTGGGTTGATAATTATCCAGATTGTGTATAAAATTTTATCATCAGAGCAGTTTTTGCTGTACATTCTGTAAATATGCTATTTCTTTGTGGGAATATTTATGTCTATATTTTTTAAGATTATTTTTTATATCCTTAGCCGATTTTATGTATACAAAAAAATTATTCATTATGCTTTATAACGTTTAAACGTTATTTAAATGTTTTTTTTTTTTTTGCCATTTTGTATATTCACCGATTATTACATTGAAAAAATGTATTAAGCTTGATATGTTTAAAACATTTCCAATAAAATCTATCGCAATGAATGCTAACTTATGTATATTTGACGTTAAGTAAATGAATAGTAATGAGTACGGTTAGCTTGATTTGAAAAATCACGGTTATGAACTAGGGATGTTATATAATTAAACTCATTAAGTACGTATTAATAACGTTAATGATACAGTATTATTGAAAACATTTTTTATTATTTGGCTCGATTTTTGAAGTTGATATTACCATTTTATTGCTTGTGAATCCGGTTTTCTTAGAACTGCTTGGAAGCAATTTCATTTCTAGTATGACTTTTAATTATTCACTACTAATCAAGCTTGTTATTAACGTCTTTTCAAATGATGTTACTTATTACAAAAAATTATTCTGGCCTAGTGACTATACTCGAGTAACTCACAATTCGAATCACGAAATTAACACTCGCGAGTTAATTATCAATTTCTAATAATTATGTATCATAATTCTTGTAAAATTTATAGGAAACTGATATTTTAACATTGATCAAAGAAATTTTTATTAGAATTCTATTGACTTCTACGATTAAATAAAAAAATTTCATTAATTGATTAGGTGGTATAGAGATATCTTTAATCAATGTTTTGAAAAATCTTAGCCACGACTTCAATTTGAGAGCAAAGCAGCCCAACGCAAAGACAAAACCAAAAGTTTTGGAAGAGAATATCAAAGATTTTTACCTTTTCACTTAAGTTGAAGAGTAAGAAAGTGCCTTAAATGAAAGAAATACGTTAAAATACGAAGTTAGAAAAGATATCTAACAACTAAGTCTTAAAATTTAAATGAGTTAATCATCGTTATCATTCATCGCCAATCAGTGAAATCAAAACAATAAAAAAAAACGACGCATTAGTTCAGGGTTAGCGTTAGGGCCAAGGTTACATTAGGGTTAGGGCAGGGTTGGCCATTGGGTTCCATTGGCTCATTGGCTTCATTTTTCTTGAAATTTTTATAATCGTACTTGTTATCATGTGTTACTATTGTTTTAGCTAGCAATTTTTCCAATGGAGTATATCAATTGCCAACCCTAACCGTTAGGGTTAACGATGTGCAATAGCGAGAATATTTTTAACCCAAAATTTTACAAGGAATTTTTTTTGTTAGAACGCAGAAAGTAGTTTTATAAGCGATTTCTTGAAAAAAGCGTGATTTTCACGTTACGACTGATCTTAAATTCTGATTGGTCATCATAGACTAGCGATTGGGGTGTCATATGTAATTTACACTATGTAAGATTTTTAAATTTTTGTGATCATTTTTATTATCATAGTAATTCATTAGTATCTTTAAAACGTTCTAACTAGGGATGTTATCCTGCTCATCGAAACTCAGTTCGGCCCTGTTTGAAACCTAAACCAATTAAACTCGAGTTTTTGAAGTCACATGATTTTGAATATTATATTTAAACTCATTGTGCTTAAATTGAGTCTGAAATCGATTTAATGAGCAAAAAGCTTCTTGATTTTTTTTTATTAAAAGTTAGTTACAGTGGCGTGATATCGATATGACATTTTCAATTTAAAAGTTAATTGCTATCGTTAAGAGTGATAATGACGAAAGAGACTTTTAAATTTTTTTTTTTTTATATAATTTTGCTTAAATTGAGTCTGAAATCGCAAAAAGCTTCTTGTTTGTAATTGACTTTTTTTAATTAAAAGTTTATTTCTGTGGCGTGATATAGATATGACGATATAATTTTTTCAATTTAAAAGTTTATTACTATCGCTATGAAAGATAATTGATAATGACGAAAATTAGACTTTTAATTTTTTTTTTTTTTTTTTTTTTTTTTTTTTTTATAAATAAGTTGCTTTTTTTCTCTTTTTTATTTGAAACTTTTACAATGAATGAAGAAACTATGTCTAAACAATCTAATACTTTAGAATTTACCTCTTCTTCAAGTTCAATGTCTCAAACCGAAATTGCATCAGATACACTCAAAGAAATAACAAACCTTCTTTCGAAACGATTAAAGACAGATCCTTTTTGGGATAAGCTTTGTGAAACTGGTGAAAAACGACATTGCTAGCATTGTTCGAAATCTTATTCATTGGATACGGGTCTTTCTACACTTAAGTCGCATTTCAAATGTAATCATCCAGAAAGATGGAATGAACTAAATACTGCTATCAAGGCAAATGTTGAACCGTATAGCACTGATATGATTTTACAAATAAACTAATATCTTATTAAATAGATCATTACGGACTAGCAAGCATTTTCTATTGTTGAAAACAAAGATTTTCAATTGTTTATTTATAAAGTAACACCACGTTATACTCTTCCATCAAGACAGTTTATATCCCAAAATATTTGAAAATTATATTACAAAAAACAACAAGACCTTCATTATTTTTTTAGTATGAATCAACAAAAATTCGCAATTACGACGGACGCCTGGACCTCTTGTACAAACCTTGGGTTTCTCGCCATTACACTTCATTGAATTGACGAAACCTGGACTATGAAACAAATCTTATTAGACATGATACCACTTCATGAACGACATACTGGCAATTATATTACTGAAAAAATTCTAGAAACAATATTATTTTATGACATTGGCTCTTGTATTGTTTCTGCTACCACGGATAATGCATTTAACATAGATGTATTCGGACGTGCATTTCGTGAAAATCTTCGATATGAGTATGGTAATAGGGATTTCGAACACGTCTGTTGCACAGCTCACATACTAAACCTTGCAGTTTTGGAGGGCATGAAAGTTGCTGTTAATTCAATCACGAAGTTGAGAAACTTCATAAGCTATATACGTAAATCTCAACTGCTATTTGAAGATCTCAAAAGGATTTTTCAAGTAAACGGGGAGCCCTTTCTTGTACCTGACTTAGACATGCCTACTAGATGGAACAGTACATACAATATGATTGAAAAGATGTTCTGAATTCATAAAATGACTGATGATCTTGTAGAGGATAATCAGGCGTTAAAGAACTGCTATCTGAATGATGATGAATAGAATAAAATTAATGTAAGTATTTAAGTCTATATATTTAAAAGTTAGTTTATGAAATTAATTTACTTATCTTTATTTAGTTAATTGTTACACTACTTGAGCCGATGGCCAGGGCAACACCGATCTTATCGTCATCTACTCATCCAACAATGGGAGATTTACATTTGATATTTCCAACTATCTTAAATATTTTACACGATGCATTAAACAGCGAAATCCAAATAAAAGGTCAAATTGCATAACGGATGTACAAAAAACTTGATAATTATTGGTCTGTTCTCCGGACTTGTTGCAGTATATCCATTGTGTTGGATCCAAGTATAAAATTATCATTATTCAATGATAAAACAGTACCAATCGTATGTGAAATTCTGTATAATGCTTATGCACGATATTCAAATGAAGAAGCTTGCCCATCTCGCTCTGAAGATATCAATGATTCTTCAAGAAATTATTTTAAGAAGTATCGCAATGAAAGGTCAAACAACGACACTCACAATGTCCTTGAAGAATATCTCACAGCTATTGAAGAGAATTGTAATCCTCTGGATTTCTGGAAAACATGATCTGCTGATACACGTTACTTCGGGCTTGCAAAAATGGCACGTGATTATCTAGTCATACAAGCGACAAGCGTCTCTAGTGAAGAAATGTTTTCTAAAGCGAAGAATATGATTAACCCTATACGTAACTGTCTATCCAAAGAGAATGCTTGCGCAAGTCTTTGCTTAAAAACTTGGTATGAATCAGGTGTAATTGATTGCGTGGAAGGTCAATAAATTAAATAAATAATAAATGAAATAAATAAATATTATGTATTTAATAAATAGCGATTATTTATGTATTAATAAATAACAACAGTAATAACATGCTTCGGCTCAACAAGTTTAGCAAGCATACTCGTTAATAAATTTGTGTAAACAGAGTTCGAGACTCAGTTTATTGTATGTGCTTTGAAACAGTGTTTAGCATGCTTTTTGGCAAGAACTAACCAGTTAAGCAAAATAACATCCCTAGTTCTAACTCCCGCTCTAGTAAACTTTACTAGAGAGCGGGAGTTAGAACGTTTTAAAGATATAATACTAATTAATTACTATGATAAAATCTTAGTGTAAATTACATATAGCAACACCCCAACTAGCGATCATCGCACTTATTCATATATATTATCGTTATAAACAATAATTGTTTTGTAACTTAAATAAATTAGATAAAATAAAAATTAGTAAATTTGGGGGCATAAATATCAATTCCCTTTAAAAGTTTAACAATTTTGAATTTTTTTACAAAAAAATACATATATGGAGTGTTAAAAGAGCCCATTTTTACATAGATCTCATTTTGAGATAATTACTTATCGTTATCGTTATTTTGATTTTCGGAATTTATCTAATTTCATGATTTTGATTGGTTAAAGGTAACAGGTAACTGATGTGTTGATCTTAAGACAGCCAGCTTCGTATAATCTTTAGAATTTATCTTGATCTTTCATAATTGAATAATGTCGACCATGTCAAAATTTACATGAATATAATAAAAACTCATTTTTCGAAAAATTGTAAAAATGGGTCCTTTTAACTTTTGACACCTCATATATGAAAATAAGTAAGGGTGATATTGCTTACCGTTACGTAAAATTTTGAGTTATTGGCTTTCTAGATCACAGATCGTTGGGTGTAAAATAAGAAAAATAATTATAAAGACAATTTTTTACCGCGACTTTTAAAAAAACCCTAGTATCGTAATTTGGGTTGTCGGATTGAGGGTTTTGATTTGTAGAAACTTAGAAAATTATATATTTTCTGTATAATGCTTATAGGAAACGCGCAATACTTTCCAAAGATATTATATGTTTTTCTCGAGATTTATTATTATTTATTTATTTTATTGCATTAGCACTATTAACATTAGCGCGAGAAATACAGTATTCTGCTTTCAATTTTATGCTTTTTTAAAAACATAAAATTTAATAAATTCAAAAATGCAAATATTTTAATTAATTGCATACGTGTGTGGCTTAATCTAAATATTCATAACGAAGCCTTCGTACACAAAAGATTACAATCACTGGCAAGTTTTTTTTGATACGTTCAACCAATCTACGCAGTCGCAATATATAGTACCACGTTAACGATGTTGAATGCGCCACATCGAAATACGTTACTAAATCACTAGTCTTTTGACTATTGGTAATCAGATTAAAAGTGTCATATATAAACAAAAAAAGTTCTATTTATTTAAAACGTCAATTTTTATTAATATTCTTTTTGTCACTCACTCTTCATGCCATAATTCGACAGAAAAGATATATAATCAGAGTAATTATTTTGAAAGCCGAATATTCATAATGTCAAGTTCGAGAGATGACGACATTCGTGAAAGATATTCAATTAGTTACGAATCTCCAAATAATGAATCTAAAAATAATTCGAGAAAAAATTTCTCAATATCGAGTAAATGGGATGATGAAAATATACCTAAATATAATTATATGTTAATCTATTTTATTTTCTTTTTACTTGGAGTAGTTATGCTTTTAGGATGGAATGGTAATCCAAATATCTTTTTAAATATCGATTTGATTGAAATTATTTATTATTAATAATGTTTCTTTTCATTTTAATAGTATTCACAATTTCTTCAGTTTATTTCAGCATTAAATTTATTGAAACTCCGTTCGTAAATGACTTTCAAAATTACTTTTCAATAAGCTTCATGATTTCAAATATATTCTTTCTCGGACATGCTATATATTTTCAAAAATCCGTATGTTAATTAATATTATCGACATATTGTCTAATTCCTTTAACCTAATTTCAATTTTTTTTTTTTTCTTCTAAAGGCAAATATGTCTCGTCGAATAGTCATTTCACTTTGTTCATTGACATTGATTTTTATGGCGACCGCAATAACTACTCAAATTAAATTGTTTACGCCAGATGGATATTTTTGCTTCATTATTCTTTTGATGTTTTTGTCTGGAGCTTTTACTGCTTATTTGCAAAATGGTGTATTTTCGGTTGTTTCACAATTTTCTCCAATGTATATGCAAGCTGTTATGAGGTATATTGATAAATTTTTGTAAAAGTTGATTATTTTACGTTTAATTAATAATTATTTTCACAAATGTATTATACTAAAATTTCTATTAGTGGTCAAGGTACTATATATTTTCATATTTGCAGAAATGTTTTTTTTTTTTCCTTGAATTGTTATTAATCATATCTGATAATTATTTTAAGGATTGGCTGGAATTATAGTGGCAATTTTGGAAATTTTAAGCGCAATAATCATAGAAAATAAACATACACCAACAGAAGCAGAATTATCACAAATAACGCTTGCTTACTTTATTTTCGCAATGTTAATATCACTACTATCATTAATCTCTTACTTTATCCTAACTCGTTCGCCGCTATATCTTCATTATATTCCACCACAAGAAAAACCTATAATTCATCCGATCGATCAAACATTAAATAATCATTCTATTCAAAGAACATTTAATAGAATTAGATTATTATGCTTTGCAATATTTTTTAACTTTTTAGTGACTTTAGCATTATATCCATCAATTACTGCATCTATAAAGTCCACAACTACTGATCAAAACAAACAATTATTTCAACAAAATTACTTATTCATACCAATACATTTTTTGATTTTTAATGCTGGTGATTGGATTGGTAGGGTTTTGCCATGCTTCAAATCTCTAGTCATCACGTCAAAATATTATTTATCCATATTATCCGTAGCTAGAATAATCTTTTTTCCTTTGTTTCTTTTTTGTAACGTAGAAGTTGGAATTCACGGGAAAAGATTAGTTCCATTACTGATAACTAACGATTGGATTTATTTTTTAATATTGGTGTTGTTTGCAATAACAAATGGATATCTAGGATCATTAACTATGATGGCAGGTCCTCAGGTGTTTGGTGTTGTAAAAGATTTTGCTGGAACATTGTTATCATTCTTTTTAGCATTTGGTTTGGTTTGTGGGTCTATGTTTTCATTTCCTTTGAAGGCTATTAGTTGTGGGTGTAATCCTTTTGCTATGTGAAATTATTTTATAATATTACTTGTATTTTTGTTTTTTTTTTTTCTTAATAAATTTTAATCATTTTTGAAAGGTATTGTTATCATTATATCTTTCCAAATATTATTCAAGGTTAGTAATTTTTTTTGTTGCATTAAATTATGTAATATGGATATGAACTGAGAAAACCTTGAATAAATAAGGTGATAGGTTTAATACTGACTTACGGATTGAACCTTTCAATATTATCCTATGGGTACTATGTGACTTAAAAGTCCAGAACGGTTCTAGATAAAACTCGTCCGGAGGTTTGGTTGCACAGGGGTTCGGGACTATACAAATAATCCAAAGGAATCCAACAATCCAACTAAGATGTACCCTTAACTTGGAAGGCTTGAAAGAGGCGAGAATTAATTTGGCCTGAGTTAGGATTACTTGGATAAGTTTGTGATTGTTAAGGTTGGGTCTTTGGATTCTCTTGGTCATGTTATCGGAAAGTCACGTTTCTGAATATCACAATTCAGGTTGTCACGGGGTCACAAATTAATTAACAATAACGATAACGATAACGAGACAGAGGTCGATGAAAATTTCTTGTGCCGGCTAATCCACAAAGGTGCGGGTTGAGGGTCGACCAGCCATCGACCTGGCCGTTGGGCTGAGGTCAGCCGTATCACTAGACAAATTCAGTACTTTTACTCTAATCAACTAAAAAAAACTAGTAACGATAAATAACTATCACGAGTTCAAGACATTTATGAGTATAACTATTCAAACAAGAATAGTTTAGACAACGAAAATTTATAATGAAAGTGGATTATTAGACTTGGCGACTTCTTCTAATTATGATTTTGAAGTATTAATTTCAAAAGTCTTCTTTTCTTTATTGAAATGAAATTCGAGCTTCTTATATACATGTTTTTATATATAGAATAAATTTTTAAAATTTTCTAAATTTACGAAATTGTTTAAATTTACTAATTTTAATAAATTCTTAAATTTCTCAATTTTTTGAATTTTACTTAATTTTTGTAAGAAAATTTCTTAAATTACATATAGTGTATATACATACATGATAAAAAAAACCCAAATTTATTATTAAAAAAACAATTTTTTTAATTTTAAGGTTAAAATGAGGCTTAAGATTTTAGCAAGAACTTATATGCAAAATTTATTAAGATATATTTTTTTTTACTTAGAGTTTCAAAAGTAGTTTTTTAGACTAATTTTTAAGATATTATCAAATTTTATTTTATTTTTTTTTGTTTTTATTATATTATATATTATATCTAATTTTAATTTTTGATTAGTTTTTTTTATCTCTTAAATAGTTTTGTAGTCAAATTTGGTTGTAATTTTAAAAAATATTTATATTTTTTTTAAATAAAACAAGATAGTAATAATTTAAAAAATTTTTAATTTATATAATAGATTATTTAAAATATATTTTAGAAAAAAACTAACTGTATACAGAGTGTTTGAAACACAGGTTTAATTTTTTTTATAAAAACAAATACTTTTTATATATTTTAGAGTTAGGGTGAAGCCTGAGATTTCAGTAAAAGTATTAGTATATGTAAAATTAACAAGAAAATTTTTTTAATTAAAACTCTAAAAGTAGTTGCATAATCTAAATTTGGAGATAGTTGCATTTCTTCAAAAAAATTTTGTTTTCATTGTACAAAGAAAGATTTATATATTATACCTGATCTTAAATTTTAATTGGTTTTCTGATACTTTTGTATTATCTTGTATACAAATACTTTATGTACAAATACAGTAGTAACTTTCTATATTTTATTACAGAAATTTTTTAAATTTATAGAAAAATTTTAAATAATTAAATTATAAAGATTGTGTAATAAAGAGTTTTATTATCAAATTTTTTTAAAATTTTGAAATTTTATATATTCTTGAAGCTAAAAAATATTTTTACTTCTAATATAAATATTAATTTTTACAAATAAATTATCAAATTAGTAATAATAAAAAAAATTATTTTTTATTTAGTATAGCTATAAAAACTGAGTATACAGTAAGTACATATATAGAAAATCTTTTAGTACTTCTAATTCTAACATTCTTAGAACCTTTTGAAGTATTAATTTATTATAATATATTCTTAAAATTCTATAATATAAATCTACTAAAATCTAATCAAATGATTAAATCTTTTATGAAATATCTAAAAGAGAAAATATTTACAAAACTAACAAAATTTTCTATTAATAAATAACTTAATAAAATCTATATATACCTTCTCTATAATAATAATATTCTTTCAAATTATATATTATTTAATCTTTTTACTCTCTTTTAATATTATAATACTTTTCTTAAATCTAATATTTTCTAACTTTAATGATAGTGTTATAAAATGAGTTTTAATTATTTTATTTTATTATTTTAGTTTATTATTTTATTATTAGTATTTTTATAAATAGTTAGTTTCTTGAATATACTTTATTCATTTTTTTTTTTTTTTTTTTTTTTTTTTTTTTTTTTATATTTTGGTACTTTTTTTTCTTTTTTTTTTTTTAAATTTTTACAAAATTTCATAAAAGGTTTCTCAAAATT